TACAATTGAGTGAAGTTTGTGGTAGATTGCTTGAAAAATGAGGGAGATTTATGTTGAAATCGATTTTTCGTTTTTCGCAGTTATTCGCTAAACGCTGAGGCGTAGAAATAAAAATGTGGTATCGTTGAGCTCGTCATGATGTAAGTAACCAACATACCGATTTTGAACGAAATCGGAGGAAAAAGTTGAATTGATCGATTTTTGATCGGCTTTATCGATTATTGATTTTTTTTTTTAAATTATCGATTTTTTACGCTAATTGTACAATGTATGTGCCCGGTTTGGTCAAAATCGGTTGGATGGATCTCGAGTAAAAATGTATCACAGAGACAGCCGAACACTCGCACCCACAGGCATCCTCTATTTTGTTTTATATATAGATTATTGAGAGTTATTTATTAACTTATTATTTATTATCGTTTTAAATTTTTAGTTAAAAAATTAAAGTTAGTACTTACGTTTAGTATTTTGTATATACTCGTTACTTATTATATATTAATTATTATTATTTACACTTTTTATTATTATTATTTATTTATTAATAAAAATTTGTATTATTATTTACTATTTATTATTATTTATTACTTATTTATTATTTGTTACCACATTTTTTTTAATTATTTTTAGTTATTTAACTTTACTATTTATCATTATTTAAAATTAATTATCAATAATTATTAATATTATTAGTTATTATTTATTCATTTTTCATTTGCGCGATGGATAAATTGTTGTCTAAATTACGCAAAAAATAGACACAACATTGACATCTCATTTTAACATATATTTACCAAAATTACACAAAAATATCTTGAAATACTAAAGAATGAATTTATTCAATAAATTCGACATTAGCTTGAATTACGGCCTCCGGATGACTTCGGAATCTCCTGCAACTCTTCTGGACGGTCTCCATGTTTTAAGTTGATGAATGCTGCCATAATCCTTGCCTTCAGTTCATCTTTGGTGTTACAAGGATTTCTTGGCGGTCTCTCGCTCAACTGAACCACACACAATAATCAAGATGGTTGAAGTTTGGGAATTAGGTGACAAGATGTAAGGCGTGATGTAATTGCAGAAATTGTCTGACAGCTGTGACTGGGTTCTCCTGTTTGTATGCCATCCCTGAGAAGTGTGCACTCGTGCGTTTACCCCGAGCCAAATGCTCCTTCTACCGTGAATGTCATCATGCCCTGAAACGCCTCATGGGCGTCGGATGGCCTCTCCAACGTCCAGGCGTTGTTTCGTAAGGCATTATATCAGGTGTTTTGTTAGGGGACCCGTTCATGATGAGCTGATTGACGAGCTCGGCCTTACGAAGCGGGAGGCTCTCTGAATATGGCCTTGAGCGTCCGGGTTGAAATGTCTCAATAACAATGAGGCATCACTCACCTGGCTAGTGATGCGTGGGGCCCTCTGGGTCGCCAAAAAACTTTGCACGGTGGGCTTGGAGAAATATCCAAACTGCCGACGCTGTGGTAAGGAAGTCGAGACCCTGAGTCACGCCTTCTTTCATTGCAGGGTTGTAGCGCCGTTGTGCAAGTTTGTTGAAGGCCTCATGGTTCGCATAATGCACGGAAAGTTCTTTGTCCCTGAGGCCGCTTCTGTTTGTAGCAATGTGGCACCGCCGTTGACGAAGGCTGAACATTATTTGTTCTTATGTTTGCTAGGTATTATGAGACTCGTGATTTGGACGACACGTCAGAAAGGAATTCTATGGAGGCGAGAAGTTCCCTTCTTCCCAACTGATCTTGTACTTTAAGCATCAGCTTAAAGTCAAGATTAAGACGGAAAGGCGGCGGCTCACTTCATCAGAATTCGGTAAAAGGTGATTTTTTTTGCCGAATTCTGATGAAGTGAGCCGCCACCTTTCCGTCCTAATCCGCGTTTGTGTCGTGTGAAAGGAGCTAACCTGGCGTGGTGCTTTGATGCCGGTTAGGCACCAGGATATTGCTTTTCCAGGGTTGAACTAGAGCAAACCATCCCGAAATTAGGATAGCTTAGGTTTAGTTTTTTGAATCTTTTTTTCAATTAACTTAGCTAGGGTTTGCATGCTCATTGCCCCCTTTAATTTCTGTCCCTATTTTTCTTTGAGTTTAATTCCCCATCCCCTCCCTCGTTAGGTGGTCAGTGATGTCAGTTCTCTGGTGAATGCGGGACGACTTTCGTTTCGTGCTTGATTTTTTCGTATTTGTTGTTGTGTCTGAATGAGTGCGTGTCTTTATTGAGTGCTTGGGATGAATGAATGTTTTATTTTATTATAGTCCCGCATTGATTTCGTCCAGTTAACTGATGTTTCTGCTACATTTAAAGATTGTGGTAGTTTTCTTACTAACATCATTTTATTTAGTTTATTGTAAATATTTTATTTCATATTGTAAATACTCATTGGGGCTTGTTTTTAAAGTTGCTTTATTCCCCACCCCTCCACAAACGATGTAATTGTACATATGGAGACTAGTTAGTATTTTCATGGAGACATTGAGGTATTATGGTGGATGTGCTACGATTGTGTTGTTTTGGTGCAAGGAATATTGTTTTGTATGATTGGGTCAGCGTTTGTGGCTAGCTAACTTTAAAGTTAAGACTGAAGACCGTCCTCCCCCCCCCTCCTTCCCCATTTCGGCCTTGTGCAACATTTTCTGGATTTTTCAGAAATAAATATCTAGAGTTGGAGATTCGTCTCCAGCTGTACTGGCCAAACTCTCTGCCTCCGGACAGAGAGGATCCACAGATGACGAGGCTATGTCGAAGGGCAGAGTCTCATCTCGGAAAACAGCTACCCAACCCCATTTTATACGGGGTCTACGGAGAATTTTTGTCCCAGCCTACTTCTTCTACGCGCCGCTGGCGAATCTTATGTGTGTTGTTCTTGTTCTAAGTATTATCGCTCATTACCAACCCTCGTTTGATTATTCTATTCAGTAACCTTCTCTAGGTTACAACAGTAATTATCAATAATGGTAATTTATTATTAACTTATTGATACCCGTTAGACCGGAAATAAGACAAGAACAATGGAACAAGACACTGGAACAAGGAATGCAATATATATGCTTAGAATCATATCAGAAAGAGCAATACAAATGCAGAAGGATATATATCTATGTTTTATAGATTATCCAAAAGCGTTTGATAAAGTGTGTCACAAAAAAACTGTTTGGACTCCGAGGTAACCTGCACATATTTGGGAAGTATATTAGAATAATCCAGAACCTATAGCGGGGGTAAACCACCAGCATACGGATAGAAAATTAATTCAATTTTATAAATATACAAAAATAGAAAGGGATGTAAGACAAGGATGTGTCTTCTTACCGGACTTATTTAATCTATACAACAGTGAGGCGATTCTGAAAGAATAACAAGTCCTACCAGATTCATTATTGGTGGCCACAATCTTAAAAACATTGTTGATAGCAGACAGAGAAAAGAAATGAAAATAACTCGAACAGAAGGTATGGAAGGAAAGCGATAAGAAAGGACTAAACATCAATTGTAAGACGATAGAAGACGTGGTTGTCAGCACAAAGAAACAGTCCAACATACAAATCGCAAATTGGAGATGCCAAAATTAAACAAGTATAAGTGTTTTTTAACAATGGATGGAAAGTGCGGCACCGAAATCCGAAGGCGCATTGGGATAACGAGAGATGCCTTCCAAAAGCTAAGCAAAGTATTAAGAATCAAGGAAATTTCGTTTTTCAAAGAAAACATGACTTAACTGCTATGTAATATCAGTCCTCCTGTATGGCAGCGAATGTTGGGCAATCTCTGCACAGATGAAGAAGAAACTTGAAGCTATAGAAATGTGGTTCTACAGAAGGATACTGAGAATACCTTGCACTGAACATGTGAGCAAAGACGAAGTTTTAGAGAAAATGGAAACATAAGGACACTTAACACCAAGAAGAGACAGTCTAGATTTCTGGGACACATAATGAGGGAGAGGGGGCTTGGAAAACTTTATACTAACCTGACAGATTGAAGGTAATAAAGACAAAAGCTACGCACAACCTACCTGGGGGGGGGCTTGAGCGAATGAAAGGCAGAGCAGGGTATGGGAGTGATGGCAAAAGGACAAAAGTTATTAAGAGCTACAAGGGACAGGAAATTGTGGAGAACCATGATCGCCAACGTCCTGAAAGGACACAGCACATATAAGAAGAAGTCAACCGGGACTATGTTTGACTTTTAAATCTACTGTAAACTGGACGCGTGTTTTCCTAATCGAATCTAACGAGTGATTAATTTTAATCATTATTATTATTATTATTATGGTGTGGAGTATCATCTTGCCAGAGAGTAATTTTAAGTGCCTAATTACCAAGTCCCTTTCGGGGTCTATGGTTAAAGAGGCACTGTAGGAGAATTATCTATGTAGATTGGGGACGTTTCGTTTAGATGTAAAGGTAGGTTGGTTGTTTTTGTTTAGCGGCATATCAACATCTCTATGGGTTATTTCATGCCAAAATCTAAATATTTTGAACAGAAATTTTATTTATTTTATTTTTTATTTTTTTTAAGTAAAAATGACTTTAGTAATACAAATATTAATAATTAACCCATAGCTGGGGGAGAAGAGGTGGGGTCATACTTTTCTTAAGAGAATTTGCATCTTGAAAGATATATTACAATCTGAAGGGACTCCCATATCAATAAGAAAGCACATTCTGTTTTGATGGTCTTTGAAAGAAAGAAAGAAAGAAAGAAAGAAAGAAAGAAAGAAAGAAAAGTTTTGAGAAATACAAGGATAAGAAAGAAAGCAAAGGAAAGGATAGGGAATATTAAGAAAGAAAGAAAGAAAGAAAGAAAGAAAGAAAGAAAGAAAGCAAAGCAAAGCGTTGGGAAATATTAGGAAAGAAAGAAAGCAAAGGAAAGAATTGGGGATATTAAGAAAGAAAGAAAGAAAGAAAGATAATGAACCCAACAAAACTAGAACTCTGCTCTCCGATTAACAATTCTGAGCCATTATCCATTATACCACCCGCACATCCAAG